TGCATGACTGGAATGCAAAAGTTGGGAACAGGGAAGAAGGATCAGTATTTGGAAAACATGGACTTGGTGACAGACATGAAGCTGGAAATAGAATGATAGAATTCTGCACATTTAATGATTTAGTCATTACAAATACCTTTTATAAAAAAAAAACCAACACAAAAATGCAGGCTTTCCTCATGGATTTCACCTGATGGTGTGCATAGGCATCAAGTCTATTACATCTGTGGAAAGAATCACTGGAGGAGCTCAATATCAGCTGTGAAAACTAGACCATGTGCTGATAGTGGAACAGACCACCAGCTACTCATATGCAAGTTCAAGCTGAAGTTGAAGGAAATTAAATCCATAGGAGCAAAAATGTGACGTTAAGTCTATGACCCTTGAATTTCAAACCCATCTCAGGGCCTTGAACATCAATGAGCGAAGACCAGAAGAGCTGTGGGAGGATATTGAGAAGATCATCCAGGAAGAATGCAAAAGGTCATTACAAAGGCAGAGGAGGAAGAAAAGACCAAGATGGATGTCAGATGAGAATCTGAATATTTTACTAGAGTGCCGAGGAGCCAAAGCAAAGGGAAGAAGTCAAGGCGCTGAACAGAAAGCTTCAAAGGGCAGCTTGGGAAGGCAAAGCAAGTATTATAATGAAATGTGAGATGAGCTGGAGTCAGAAAATCAAAAAGGCCGAACTTGCTCAGCATTTCTTGAACTGAAGGAATTGAAAAACAAATTCAAGCCACAAATTGCAATACTTAAGGATGCTTTAAGAAGAATATTAAATGATCCAAGAAACATTAAAAGAAGATGGAAGGAGTATACAGAGTCACTGTACCAGAAGGAAATCAGCTGACACAGAAGAATTTCATGAAATAACATATGAACAAGAGCCTATGGTGATGAAGGAAGAAGTTCAGGCCGCACTGAAAGAATTGACAAAAAAAAAACAAGGCTCCAGGAGTTGACGGCATATCAATTGACATGGCCTGGATATGCTCACTACGTTGTTCCAAGAAATCTGGAGGACAGCCATCTGGGCAACTGACTGGAAGAGATCCATATTTGTTCCCATTCCAAAGAAAGGTGACCCAACTGAGTACAGAAGTTATTAAACAATATCATTAATATCACATGTGAGCAAGATTCTGCTGAAAATTATCCAAAAATGACTGGAGCAGCATGTCAACAGAGAACTTCCAGAGTGCATTCTGGTTTAGAAGAGGCTGTGGTACTAGGGATATTATAACTAAGTTTAGATGGATCTTGGCTGAGAGCAGAAAGTACCAGAGGAATGTCTATCTGTGTTTTATTGACTATGTAAAGGTGTTTGACTGTGTGGATCATAACAAACTATGGCTGACTCTGAGAAGAATGGGAATCCCAGAACATTTGATTGTGCTTATGCAAAACCTATGCTTGGACCGGGAGGCAGTCAACAGGATAGAGCAAGGAGACACTACATGGTTCAAAATCAGGAAGGGTACATGCCAGGGATGCATTCTATCTCCATACCTTTTCAATCTATATGCAGAATAGATCATCCAGGAGGCTGGGCTGTATGAGGAGGAATATGACATCAGGATTGGAGGAAGATTCATCAGCAACCTGCGTTATGCAGATGACACAGTCCTGCTGGCTGAAACTGACGAGGACCTGAAGCACTTGCTGCGGAAGACCAAGGACTGCAGCCTTCAATATGAATTGAAACTCAACATCAAGAAAACAAAGCTTCTCACTACTGGGCCAATTAGCAGCATCATGATGGATGATTACAAGATTGAGATTGTTAACAGTTTTAGTTTGCTTGGCTCCACAATCAACACTCTTAGTACCAGCAGCCAAGAAATCAAGAGACGAGTTGCATTGAGAAAGTTGGCTTTCAGGGACCTCTCCAGAGTACTAAAGAGCAACGATGTCAGTCTGCAGACTAAGGTGTGCTTGATCCAGGCCATAGTCGATTGCTTCCTATGTATCAGAGAGCTGGACATTGACTAGGGATGATAGAAAAAGAATTGATACCTTTGAACTCTGGTGCTGGAGAAGAGATTTTAATATACCATGGACTCCCAGGAGAACAAATAAATTCATCCTAGAGAGGGTGAAGCCAGCCTGCTCCTTGGAGGCAAGGATTCTGATGCTTTGTCTGACATACTATGGGCATGTTGCAAGGAGGGACCAGTCCTTGGAGAGGGACATCATGCTTGAAAGGTTGAAGGGACAGAAAAAGAGAGGGAGACCGTCAATGAAATGGATTGATACAGTGACTGGGGTAATGAGGGTAGATGTGTCAGAGACAGTAGAGTTGGCACAGGATAGAGAAGGTTTCAGGGCTCTCGTACAAATGATCGCTATGAGTCACACATGACTTGATGGCACACAACAACAATTAATATGTTATTCATATTGAAAGCTCTAGACTATGATCTTATTCAGTAAATGCCTTACGTCTTCTTCACATTCAGCAAGCAAGATAGGATCAAATACGTGTTGCAGGTTAGTGGTGAATCTTCCTCTAATCCTGACAGTGCATTCTTCTTCATAGAATCCAGCTTCTCAAATGACTCCTTCAGCCTACAGATTGAATAAATAATGGTGTGCCAGGATACAACTCAGACATACATCTTTCCTAATTTTAGACCACTTAAACTAAACTGTGTCCACTTAAACAAAAAAAAAGAAAAAAATCTCACTGCTGTAAATCACAATCAGAGGATATTGCCCATCTCCTCACCCAGAGCCACTGATGGATTCGAACCACAATAGACTCTCATTCTTAGGGTTAGTTTAGCAAATCACCACCAATTAGGGCATCAGAGCTCTATTAGGTATTAAGATGAGGGAAGCAGGTGCTACAAAGAGCCAAAGGAGCTATAAAGTGCCATATACCTAGAAGTTGATGTTTCTTAACCACTTTAGATCTTGCCGCATTTAGACACACACACGTTTGACCCTTATGTCAGCCTGTGCAGTGGGTATGAAATAAATTGTTGTCTTTGTTTACAGTTGAGGAAACAAGCCACACACGGCTATGGGTGGCAAAGCCAGGATGCAGATCTGGCACTGCAGATTTCAGATCTTAACATGATTGTATCCTGTAGTAACTGTGTAACAGGAATGGATAGGGAAAGAAAACTCATAGAGAGTTTTAGATGAGAAGTGAAAGAGGTTTTCATATGATTGGTGTGTAGGTGATGAAGGGGGAAAGAGCAGTCCAGAGGTGATGGGAATAATAGCATCACCAGCAAATGTCAACATGCTTAGTCAATACCATAGCAGCCACACACTTTAAATATTGCCTCTTTTAATTCTGAGAACAAATCTCTGAGGGGCAGTATTATTATCTCTATTTTAAACAGTGCGCATATATGTTGTTCACACTTTTAAAGGAAAGGGGGGAAGTGGTTTTGCTCTGAGATAAGGTGAATCTCTCTCATGACCACATTTGGGGCTGGATTCATGGTGTTCCTCTGTGGAAAGCGTAAATATAATGCCAACCAAAAGATAATTAAATTGGGTGCATGATTGTTATGACATCTGTACCACCAAGCTTATTTGTTTAATGTTTCTCTGGTACTTTGAAAGTAAACTAGACTGTACTCTGTGATCGGTCAAGCCCTAACTCTGGCCTTTAAAGGAAACAGGCAAGTGTGTAATCAAGAAACACAAGTATGTTCTTCCTCAGTTATTGATTAAAAGAAAAATATACTTCTCAATGACTATTTGTCTAGACAGGGAGCTCTGGTGGGCTGATGGATACTTCCACTGCCAACCTAAAGGCGGGCGGTTTGGATCCACTGGCTGCTCTGTAGGAGAAAGATGAGCAGTCTCTTCCCATGCAGTTTGCAGCCTCTGAAAACCCACTGAAGAGTAGGCAGCTATGAGTTAGTTCTGACTTGATGGCAATGAATGAGTGAGTGATTTGTATGAAAAATACATTTGCACAGAATGCCGTATTTCCACTAGAATTCTTCAGTAGAATTACCTTCTGTTGTACTTAAACTTCCTAAACGTTATCAGTCACTGCTCAGTGTAAACTTGGTTTTCCCTATTCAGTTAACTGGTTCGTACATCTCTTCCTTACCTTGAATATGATGCCCAGCTTTTGTCTGAGATGCCAATTATCTAAGTTTTCCTTTTCTTTTTCTTTCTTTTTTGTTGGACGGGTGAGCTTGAGCCTTCAAGGAGCAAACTGGCCCTAGACTTTTCCAAGTCCTTATTACTTTGCCTCCAATTCTTACATGTCCATTCCTTTTCTTTTTATACTGAGCTCTAACTTCATTTGAAACTACTTGAGAAAAGACCCTTCCCAAATATTTTGCTTTCAATCCTCTATCCCTTTTTTTTCTTTTAGTGAAATTGTTGTTGTTGTTACTGCTACTGCTTGCTGTCAAGTTGGAATGGACCCATGCCTTTCAGAGGCAGTAACTTGCACAGGAGGAGAGAGCCCACCCTTCTCCCGTGGAGCAGCTGGTGGATTTGAACCTTGTATCTCCAGATTGCAATGTGGCTTCTTATCACTGGGAAACTAGAGAAAAACAATTTGCATATCAACTAAAGTTGCTAAAAATCACTGAGGATAAAGTGCATGGGGAGGAAAAAAAATCCCACACTGCTTTCTTAATAGTGTTTACTTTATAGCTCACTTCTAAAATCTCCAAACTGCATCTCTAGGTACCTGCTTGCTAGTTATTTATTCACTAAGCTGCATATAGCGGTCCCTTAGCAACTGTAGACCTTGTGGATAAAAGCCTAGCTCTTCTCTGACACCACCTGTTTTTAAGAAGGCAGGCTTCTCTCAAAAGACTTGAAGTTATATAAGCAAAAAGTACCAGAATACAGTTCTTTTTGAAAGTAAATTTAAAGATATCGTAAAATAGTTTTTATCCCAGAACTAGTATGTCATTTCTTCCAGGGGATTCTCCTCTGAGGCGAGTGGAGATTTGGGGCAAGGAGTCAAGCAAAGGGTCATAGCTTTTTGTGTCCTTCTTCCTACTTGCCTCCAGGATTGTGAAGATGGCCAGCCCCAATCTGAACATGGTGACCTTACTGGGCAGTTGTCTGACTTACTGCAGCGCTTACCTCTTTGGGATTCAGGATCAAGATGTGTTAGGGGGAAGCTCAATGGAAACTATCATTCAGGTAGGTCAGGGTTTAAAGCTGTATTTTGAATATCCTTTTATGATGTTAATGTTCTGACAGTTTTTAAATTGACTGCTCCTGTGGGTGGTGGTTATCTTTATCCTTGGTGTGGACCCGTTCAGAGGTGCTCTCTGCGATGCTTAGGCACTGAGGTCCATTACTCCCCATGCCCTGTGTGAGATCAAGATTTTGCAGATTAGAATGCATGGAGAGGCCCCAAAAGTCCCTTATATGACTCTTGTTTCCGTCTACTTCCGTCTGTAGGTAAGGCTGTCCATGCTGTGCATTGGGACCTCCTTGGTGTTTGGCCCCATTCTGGGAAAGAGCTGGCGACTTTACAAAGTGTTTACCCAGAGGGTCCCAGACAAAAGAGTGGTAAGTAGGTAGCCGGTGTACCCTGCTTGATGGTAGACAGCAGCTCTACTTTTCTTAAAAGCTGGGAAAGTCTGTACCAGATAACTGGATCTGACCATTTTTATATCTGAAGTTCTTTCTCCTTGCTTCAAAACTTGGAGTCCTGTGGCTGCTGGAATCCGAGCCTAGAGACTGTTTCTCAGTGCTGACTGGGAGATAAGTCTTTGAATAAGATACATCTCTGTTTCATGTGAACCCCAGGTCTTGGTACTGTTCTGGCACCATTGTTAGGGGGAAAACAGGATGCGCGGCAAGACTACAGCTTGTCAGATGGAAGTGGACGGAGACACATTTGTTTCCTTCACTGAGGCCCAATATTTTGCCATGTAGAAGACCATTCCATGAACCAAGAAGAATTTGTCTGGAGCAGCGAGCAAGGAAAAGACCTCCATTCAGTAGAAAGAATCAACCTTAGGAACTTTGTAGCAATCAGATTGTCTACATGCTCCTGACAAGTCACATGTAATCCTAATCACATTCCCACTTCTTATTAAGTTCCTAAGAGGGCTGCCTGAACCTCAGAGTCTCTGACTACTATAACCTGTATCCAGACCGGATATAACACTCAGTTCTATGGAATGGAAAGATATTTTTTTATCACTTGCTACTCAGTGATGCTGAATATTTATTAAATAGCTGAGAGTAATCACACATGTGACGAAAATAATCTAAAGGACAAAAAATGTATTTATCTTAGAACAGTGATTCCCAAAAGGACAAATATTGCATAGGGCCACTGTTGTAAAATGGGACTGACATCGGGGTTGAGGGAAGACAGAAAAGGAAGGGAAGAATTTTGTATATTGCATTGAAACAGATGAGGGAAAGAACTGTTTAAAGGGAACATATGAATGGGTATTATCATTACAGAAGTCCAGAGTGAAGGCTGAATAATGGAGTGGACTTGGGGGAAGGGATTGCATAGCAATGAAAGAGCTTTTCTTTTTCTTTTCAAGAAGAGTGAATTGACAGGAAGCGGGTGGGCAGGGAGAAAAGTACAATGATAAATGACTGGAAACCCTAAGTCTCTGAAAACTTTCATTAAAATTAATTTTAAAAATAGCTTTATTGAGGTCTATTTGGTATGCAATCAACTATACATATTTAAAGTATATGATTTACTAAGTTTTGTCACTCAGATACATCCATGGAGCCATCACTACAATCAAGACAGTGAGCATACCTATCACCCCTAACAGTTTACTCATGACCTTTGACATCTCTGTCTTCCATCTAATCTTTGTATTTTCTACCCTTCTCTAAGAAACCATTGATTTGCTTTCTGTCCATGTAGATAGATGAGTGTGCATTTCTCATGATCTTATGTGATTGTTATCGTACAGTGTTGACTCTGTCTGTATGCTTCTTTTACTCAGCATGATTTGAGTTTTATCAATGTTATGTGCATTAGCAGTTCATTCCTTGTTATTACTGAAAAGTGTTCCATTGTATGGCTTTAGTTCCTGTTTATCTGTTTGTGGACATTTAGGCTGTTTGAAGATTTTAGCTATTACAATAAAACTTCTTCATTTGTGTGTAAGTTTTTCAGAGGCGTACACTTTCATTTCTCGTGGGTAAAAACAGAAGAGTACAATGAATAGATCCAATGGTGGGCGTATGTTTAACTTTTTAAGACATTTTTCAAAAATGTATGTAACATTCTATATTCCCACCAGTAGTGTAGGAGAGTTAATTTCTGTCACATCCTGGCCAACGCTTGGTTTGGTCAATCTTTTTAACCAATCTAATAGATATGTAAGAAGCTTTGGTAGAGTAGTTTTTTCCTGTGCTGACTGCTCAGTGAAAGATCAGGATTTCACATCCTCCAGCCACTCCACAGGAGATAGATGAGCAGTCTCCTACCATAAAGGTTTATACTTTTGGAAACCTGATGTAGGGTCAACATGAGTCAGAATTGACTCAGTGGGAAGTGAGTTCATTTTTGTTTGTTTGTTTAATAGATGTGTAGGATGTGCTCACCAGTCAGTGGCAGGGAATTTGGTGGACAGATGCTTGGCCAACTGGTTGGAAGAGATTCATACATGTTCCCATTCCCAAGAAAGGTGACCCAACAGAATATGGAAATTATAGAACAATATCATAATAATATCACATAAAAGCAAAATATTACTGAAGATCATCCAAAAATGGCTAAAACAGTACATTGACCAGGTACTTCCAGAAGTTCAAGTTGGGTTTAAGAGAGGCCACGACATCAGGGATAACATTGCTCATGTCACTTGGATCCTAGCTGAATGCAGAGAATACCAGAAGAATGATGTCTATTTGTGGTTTATTGACTATGCAAAAGCATTTGTCTATGTGGATCATAACAGACTATGGCTAACAATGAGAAGAATGGGAATCCCAGACATTTAATTGTGTTCATGGGAAATCAATACCTAGAATATGTTGTCCAAACAGAGCAAGGGAGTGTTGTGTAGTTTAAAATCAGGAAAGGTGTGCACCAGGGATATATCCTTTATCCATACCTATACAATCTGTTCTGAGCGAATAATTCATGAAGCTGGACCCTATAAAAAGGAATGTGGCATCAGGGTTGGAGGAAGACTCATCAATAACCTGCATTATGTATATGACACAACTTTGCTGAAAACAAGGAGGACTTGAAATGATTGCTTCAGAAGATCAAGAATTACTACAGTCCTTAGTATGGATTGCATCTCAACATCAAGAAAACAGAAGTCTTCCCATTGAGCCAACAGACAATGTAAGGATAGATGGAGAAAGGATTAAAGCTGTCAATGATATCATCTTGCTTGAATCAACAATCAACACCCTTCACATCAGCAGTCAGATGATTAGACGTATTGCATTGGGCAAGTTTGCTATCAGTGACCTCACCAAAATACTTGACAGCAATGTTGTCAGCTTGATGACTGAAGTATGCCTGATGCAGGCTATCGTCTTTTTCAGTTCCCTTCTATACATCTCAAAGCTGGACAGTGAATAATGATGATAGAAGAAGAATTGATCCCTTTGAGTTGTGATGCTGGAGAAGAATACTGAGTATCCTATGGCCTGCCAAAAGAACAAATAGATATATCTTGGAAAAGTTGCAGTCAGACTGCTTCTTGGAGGCAAACATGACAAAGCTCTATCCCTCAAACCTTGGACATTCTTTGGAAATTCCTTGGAGGCTATTCCTTGGAAAGGGACATTATGCTTGGAAAGGTGGAGGATTAGAAAAAGAAAGAAGCCCCCCAAAGACATGGACTGACATAGCAAGTGCAACAATGGACTCAAGCGTGTCAGCGGAGATGATGAGGATGGCACAGGATAGGACAGAGTTCAGATCTGTTGTTCACAGGATCACTATGAATCATATTCTACTACACCACACCTAACAACAAAAAGAAGTGATTGTAGTCTCAACTGCCATGATATTTGTATGCCTAGTTTTCTTTGTGGTTTGTTTCTAGAGATACAACACCTGTTTGTCAGTTTGGTTATTTGGGAATGATTTGCATATTTCTCATTACTTTATATCTTAGCTGGTGTCTTGGCTTGGAGCGGCATCTACTTCCAAAATGGCTTGCCTCTGGAAACTCTATATACGAACAATGCTCAGGCCTTTTGTTCATAGGGTCGCTATGAGTCATCTAGGACTCGACGGCACCTAACAACAACAACAACAAACAATTAGTATAGTACTTAACTGTCAGTCTGCTGTACTGGTGTAGCTCGTGGGGTGCTCTAATATGAGATTCTGTACCACCAGTGTTTCAGGTACCAGAAGGGTCATCCATTGAGAAGCTGCAACAGAGCTCCTAGATTCAAGACAGACTAGAAAGAAGGATTGGTCATCCATTTCTTTAACAATGGGATTTTGAAAACCCTATGAAGAGAGTTTTATCGTATTAGACATAGAACCCAGATAGGAAGTCACTCAAAAAGGAGTAGAAACAGCTGCAAACAGCCATTAATAATTGGGACATGGAATGTACAAAGTATGAATGGATGTTGTTAAAAAATTAAATGGATTTCTTTTGCTTTTCAAGGAGAGGAGCAAATGGGGTGGGAGGGGGGAGGGGTTTGTGCGGGGAGAAGGGTGCAACAATGAATAAATGAAATCCCAAAATCTCTGTAGATGTTCATTGAAATGAAAAATAAACAACCTAAATTAAAAAAAAAAAGAAAGAAAGAAAAATTAAATGGAACGCTTGAAGATTGACATTCTAGGCATCAGTGCACAGGAATCAAATTGACTATATTTGCAGAAAGAATTGTGGAGACTCACAATATCTGTAGTCAAAGCCAAACCAAATGCTAATGGTAGCTTTATTTATGTGAAAATTTAAATTGAAGCTGAAGAAAATTAAAGTAGTCAATAGAAACTAAGATATGAACTTGAGTCTCTCCCACTTGAATCTAAGAACTATATCAAGAACAGGTGTGAGACATTGAACACAAATGATCAAAGACCAGTTCTTATGGGAGAACATCTAAGATATCATACATGGAGAGAGCAAAAGGTCATTACAAAGAAGGAGAAAGAAAAAAATCAAAATGGCTATCAGTAGAGATTATGAAAATTGCATTAGAGCTTCAAGAAACCAAAACAAAAGAAAGAGATGAGAAATAAAAGAGCTGAACTCATTATTTTAAAAAGGGCAGCTCTAGAAGACAAAGCAAAATACTATAATGAAATGTGCAAAGAGGTGGAGTCAGAAAATAAAAAGGATAGAACTTGTTCAGCATTTCTCAAGCTGAAAAAACTTCAATCCTCCAATTGCAATATTGACAGATACTATAGGGCACAATCTTGAGTGATCCAGGAAGCATCAAAAGAATTTGGAAGGAATATACAGAATTGCTATACCAAAAATAATTAGTTGATACTGAAAAATTTCAGAAAGTACAGTATGAACAAGAGTCAATGATGATGAAGGATGACGTTCAAGCTGTAATGGAAGCATTGGCAAAAAATAAGGCCTCAG